CCCCAAAACCCCAAAACCCCAAAACCCCGTGATTAAAATAAAAAATTCAAATATAAGAGAAGCAAATGCAATTTCCAAATCATCAAATCATTTAGTGTTTTTATTTAAACATTGATATCATCGGAACGCTGAAATAATCTTTAAAATGACTGAAGCATATCCAATAAATGAAAGAGTCCCAAAAAATAATATAAGACTGACTTTTTTACATAGACTTAACTCATCTTTATTCAATTTCAAATAGCAAATTGCTAAAATAATTATTAAAAGTATGATTTTATACTCGGTAGGACATAGCATATTGTGACTGAACATATTCCACCCACTATCGATAGTACCCCTGTAATGTCTGGATAAATAATAGCTAAGGAAGTAGTAATTGTAATAAAGCATAAGGAAACTACAATGTTTCTAAATTAGAGTTAAAAAATAAAAAGATTATTTACTATCCTCTTGTCATTGTAGTATTGCCATTCTTCTTAAAAGCTTAAATTATTATTTATTTTAATGGAATAACGTTCATTGAGTATGCTATGACGAGGACTATAGGCATTAAAATTTAACCTAAGAGCATTGGATAATCAATTGTTTCATAAAGAGCCTTTCTTTTAAAAATTACATCATCAGTTTTATCGTAAGTAGAAAAATATCCAGCTAATGCAATTGTCAAATAGCAGAGAGAATTTAAACTCACACTTCTAAAAATGACTTTATTTATTCTTGGCATAGATCTATATTTAAGATGTTAATATCAATTTCGATTTCAAAAGTAATTACCTGAACTTAAGTTCATCCATTATAGGAATATGCTCAATATGACAAGAAAATGAGAAGAAAATGATGGCGAAATTCTCAGGAGTTTTCCAATCTATTTGAAAAAATTTCAATTTCTGATAGGAATAGTTTTAAGCTATCTAATAATATCAAATCAATAAAAAATTTATTTACATATGAAGGAAGTTCAAAAACCACTACAAAAGTAATGTATGCCATAACGAGGACAGTAATCAAACTAGCATGTCTAAATGCACTCATTTTAGTTGAGAATATCTGGATAAAGAGTAAAATAAAGGCAAAAGCTATTCCTGTTTCAAACTTAAATGCAGAAGTCTTAGTGAAAGCTATGTCGTAATTAAACTGTAGAAAAATAGATTGGATTGCATTTGTCATATTAATTATATATGAGGTATTAGATCCAGTCATCTACAATACTATCATTGTAAAAGCTATCTTATTTAAACATCTCCCACCAATTCTTCTAACCATACCTGGATAGCTCCTTGACTGTTCAGATTAATGAAAACATTCAGCTAGCATGAACAAGCTTAAATAGCCAGCAAAACCTCCAATCATAAGCATAATTGTGCCTTAAACAAAACCAGTTTAAGAAAATACGAATGAAAGTGATAAAAATCCAGTTCCAATCGCTGAAGTCATCAGCTAGAAAGTACTTCCTCTTAATGACCCATGATCAATTTTGCTAAACATTCTTTAAGAGAGACTTCTATTCATAGAATAATTCCTTGAGGTAACGTTGATGCCTACTGAATAAGACTAATCATTTGTGACATTTCTTTAGTTGTAGCTTTGTTGATTAATTAGGTTTTCATGCAAATCTATCTGACTATTTTATTGCATTTCGAAATCTAAAGGTATCATTATCACAAATATCTTTATTATACACTATTATGATCCTCGTGCATAAGTCGCCTGTTCATCTAGATTATCATCCTAAAAATGATTGTTTACATTTTGAAATTATTAATTTACTCTCTCATTCATCATTTTAAAATAATTTTTAAATTATAATATTTGAAGCACTAACTCCTAGTTTTATGATAAAAATGGGGTTTTGGGGTTTTGGGG